TGGGAGCCTGTTGTTGGGACCCTGTTGTTGGGAGCCTGTTGTTGGGACCCTGTTGTTGGGAGCCTGTTGCTGGGAGCCTGTTGTTGGGAGCCTGTTGTTGGGAGCCTGTTGTTGGGAGCCCGTTGTTAGGACCCTGTTGTTGGGAGCCTGTTGCTGGGAGCCTGTTGTTGGGAGCCCGTTGTTAGGACCCTGTTGCTGGGAGCCTGTTGTTGGAACTGCTGTTCAGGCTATAGCTCAGAGCTGCGGAGTGAGAACAGGAATTTCCTAAGTGATCTAAATGAATGTTGAAGCCCAAGAAGGACTGTTGTAGGTACAGCCTCTACAGCAGAGACCCCAAGTTCTTGAGTGTGAGTGCAGGACCCTACTGCAGCCCCTTCTGGGAATCTTCTGGTTTGTAATGCTGAAGAGGCACCTAGCAGCACCTCTCCTCTTCTCCTTCTCATTAGCTCCTTTGCAGCCTGCCACTGGGGGGTCATTGCAGGGTGCTTTTTGAATGAGAATAAAAAGGGACTCCTCATCACAAAAGGTTGTGTTTGTAGCTAGAGTTTTCCTGCTTTGCCCACAGTCAGGACAAATCTTTGTCACCCGCCAGTCCCACAGCCGCTCAGACCCAACCAAGTAAACACAGAGACTTATATTGCTTACAAACTGTATGGCCGTGGCAGGCTTCTTGCTAACTGTTCTTTTATCTTAAATTAATCCATTTTCATAAATCTATACCTTGCCACGTGGCTGGTGGCTTACCAGCATCTTCACATGCTGCTTGTCCTGGCGGTGGCTGCAGTGTCTCCCCTCAGCCTTCCGCTTCCCAGAATTCTCTTCTCTCCTTGTCCCACCTACTTCCTGCCTGGCCACTGGCCAATCAGTGTTTTATTTATTGACCAATCAGAGCAATTTGACATACAGACCGTCCCACAGCAGTTGTGAGGTATAATTTGGTACCTGTTGAATGAGTTGACTTTAATGTTAACAGAAGAAAGCCAACACTAGTACAGGAAACAGGTATAGACCACAGAATCACTTGAAAGATGTGCCTGTTTCTTTAGTGTGTTACAGCTTTCCATTGGCTCTTCTCTCTGTCTGTAGTCCACGTCGGTGGTAGGAATCACTGCTTTGTTGGTTTTTCTTTCTTGCCTCTACAGGGAGTCAGCTGCTAACCTAGTGAGGAGTGGCTCCTACACCAGGCAGCCGTGGAGGGATGAAGCAAAGGGAAGTGAAACCCCCCAGACAACTGCTCCCTCCACTTATGTGTCAACTTACCTGAAAAGGTACCAGCTGCAGAGGGGTGGGGGTGGTCCTCCTTCGCTCCCATCATGGGAGTATGGGTAACGGTTGCATGCTTTTTATATCCAATTAGGACCACAACAATGAATGACTTTTAGATTTGGGGATCAACATTTTCACTAAATTAACATTGATTTGTTTCTCTTAATAACTGGATTAAAGTAAGCCAATTCCAATCCTTACTACAGACCCGACTTTACACTCCATCCTTTTGGCCCTGTTAAAATTTCAGTCTGAAGTAGCATCTAGTGATCTCTGGGGAAAATGGAATTTATATACTCTTGCCTAGTCTTGGTTTTCCCTTTTCTAAAACTAGGGTAGTTTTCATCCCAGTTCCACTTGGGGGTGGGAGGGGGGGCACGGCAGGGTGGTAAGGAGTGGGAAACGGGAACAGTTTTCTGTTGGATTTAAGACATTTCATATTGAGCCTGTTAATTTAGGGACTTGAGTTGTTTTTGTTTTTTTATGACTTTAATGGCCCTCAGATCCATCAAGATGTGAAACTCGCAAGTTTGGTGTGCAGAGAAGGTACATGGGTTTCCTTTGATCTCATCTGTATTCTTTGCTGCAATTATTTTCTTTGCCACCAGCTAGCCAGCAAGCAAAGCACCTCTGCCAGAACCATTAAGCTATAAGAGACACTTAGTAATATTTTGGTTTGGATTTTGCTGCTGATGTAGAAGAATCTGTTTTTCATTGCTTACTTTGAATTCTTTCTGCACTTCCACTTAACCCTTCAGCTGCCGCCTCCTGCCTTCATCATCAGGCTTTCTAGATGGCTACCTTAGAGACAGGCTTTGGCCAAGACTAAGAGAGCAGATTAGCTGTTTGTGATCACAACTATTTCTACCTACCAGGAAGGCTCTTGATAGGTAGTTAGTGTTGAAACATGGGAAATAAGCTATAATGAAAATAGATACCACTGCCTTTTAATTTTTCAGTTCTGCAGGTACATTCTAAGAAAGGTCTTGACTTTGAAAGTATACAAGTACAGCTCAGTGATCTCAGTGGCATTTTATTTTATGTATTTATTTATATAGGCAGGGCCTCATGTAGCCTCAGCTGGCCTTGAACTTACTATGTAGTTGAAAGTAACCTTGGAATTTTGATCTACCTGCCTCCACCTCCTGAGTGCTAAGGTTACAGGCATATGTCACCACACACATTTATGAGGCTAGGAATTGACCCCAGGGCCTCCGTATGCTAGGCAAGCATACTACCAACTGAGTTACAGCCAAGCCCACTGACAATTAGACAGATCAGGTGTTTGGGGCTTTATGAGGGTATCGTCCATTTCTCTTAAAGGAAAGGCCTTGAATTACCAAGATATATCACTATTTTTTACAATCAAATCCAAAATCAAAGAAACTTTTCTAATAGAATAATGTTCTAGAGGTAGGAAAAAAGAAAACTTCAATTTAGTTTCCAACTGTGGAGTTATTAGGGGGTGAGGTTGTTGATGTTCATGACCCAAGTTTATCAGCAAATGGATGAGTGGCTTTGGTTTGATGTAGTTTGGGCAAAGTTATAGTGAGCAGAACATGAAAGGGCCGCAAATTGTGCTTAGTTACATAAGCACTTTTTGAGAAAAGATCTATAACTTGCTTGGTGCCTTCAATTGCCAGTGCTCCTTTTCTGTAACCCGAGAGTGGTTTTATAAAGCTTTGTGATCCTCCCAAGAAGAAGGAATTGTATGCCATCACCATTTGAAATAGAAAGTGCAAGAAGAAATCTCTCCTCCCCCAGCTGTGCCAAGCCTTGGTCGTCTTTGAATTTTCTACATCATCTCTTGTATTTAGCCAGGAACTAGTCTCATACAGCTCAGTAAATTGCTGCTTTTCTAGTGGAGGTTTCACAGCCTTTTATCATCTCCTCTAGTGTCTGGTTCAGTCAGAAAGCATTTACAAACTTCTAACCCAATGATGTTTCACTGCAGTTGAGATAGTCCTTAGGTCTTCAGTTGAAAACAAGCAAACAAACCCCCATGTCTTTTTGCCTGCACATTATTACTTTGTAGACTTAAAGCTTTAAATCCTCCCTAAGACGTTTTTTTAATTAAATGACTGCAGCAGCCATTTTTTCCTCTTTGTTCCTTTCTTTCCTTTCCTTTTTTGTTGTGATTTTTCAAGACCTCCTCCAATTCTTGGGTCTTCTGGCTTTTGCAGCATTACTTCTCTCTCGTGTAGGTGGTCATGGTGCATGATTTGGGGCCTTGGGTTTGCTCGGGGTTGTTTTTTCTTCTAAGAATAGTCTCTTGTCATGTATTCTACTTTCTTGCTTTTCCTTGTTGACTGCCACCTCTCCTCATTTACTCTTTTGGATGATTGATCAAAAAAAAAAAATCATTCTTCAAAGAGTGATGCTTGTTTCACTCTTGGATGAGTGCCTGCTTGCTGCTGGAGACCCAGCTCTGGCTGGAGTTACCTCTCCACTTCCTGGTTGCCATGCCATCTCTCTGGCCTCCATTCCTTTCCCATGCACAATCGGGGTGGGAAGGTGGTGTTGGGAAACGGTGGGTGGGTGGGTGAGCAGCATGTCCTGAAGAAAGTGACTGTGTGCTGTTTTGCAGTTCTTCATTTGGTAAAAGTAGTGACCCCACAAGTCCCTACATTTCAGCCAATCGCAATTCATCTCCTGCTACCTCACCCATTGCCATTGGTTCATCCACCTCTTGGGGCAGCCAGTGGCAACCTGCCTCTTGCCCTGCACCAGTCAGTACAAACACTCCTGCGTCTGTACAGCATGTCAGGTAAGGCTTCCTGGAGCCGTTTGAGTGGGTCATCACAGTTAATGCTTCTGGAAACACATAGGAGATCTGAAGCAAAGAGGCTTGTCAATGTAGAAGTAAGTTTAGACTCCCATGACAGTACCCAGAATTTAACAAAGATGCTTTTGTTTTGACTTTACTAGCCAGTCAGCACTTGCTCATTGAATAGCACTGAATCCATATCATTGTCTTGATGTTCAGGGGTCAAAGCAGCATGATTGCTTTCATTTCTCAACCACCTTTCCAATGTGACTACAGTTTTAGAATCAGATCCAGGATAATAAACTATATATTAAAAATATTGCTGTATTTTACTGATTAATGTTCTAGAATCCCATGTGTTTAGTCTTTTGGAAGATGACATACAAACCCAGAAGAAAAGTTAATCTATGTTCCAAAAACTTCCTGTAGCCTTCTGAGAATTATGTCAATTAGTATTCTTTTGGGAGCGCAGTGAGACGGAGAGGTTTTTGTTTGCAGACACAATGTTCTAGGAGTGTATCTTTTTGGTTTTCCATTCATCTGAAGGTTGCATGGTAGAGTATCATTGTGAAAGCACAACAGGACTTCAGTTCCTTTTTGGTTTGATTATTTTGAGACAGGGTCTCACAGTGTAGGCCTGGATGACTTTGACTTCACTTTGTAAACCAGACTGGCCTTGAACTAAGAGATGTGCCTCCTAAGTGCTGCAATTAAAGACATGTACCACCACAGCCAGTCGACACCCTCACATACATAGTTAGTTGATGCATATTTATCTACGCCTACTTGTCTCTAAGTGTACCAGATGTGTGTAGCGTCTGCTGACGCCAGAAAAGGGCACCGGGTCTCCTGGAACTGCATTTTCAGGTGGGTGCGAGCCACCACAGCGGTGGCTGGAACCGAACCTGGGTCCTCTGCATGATCATCAGGTATCGAGTGCTCTCACCCAGAGCATTTCTCCAGCTATGAGCTGCACTTGGCACCGCAGGTTTTTTTACCCTTTTCTGGGTGTTGGAGGCTCTTTTGGTTTTGCCATATGGCTTTTGAGGGTCTTGTTTTGGTAGAATGAAAGTTTAAAAAAATAGAAATGTTGGTAGTGTTGTTGCCAGAACACCTGTTATGGTGGTGCTTGGTTGATGTTTGCCAGTTTAATAGATCTCTTTCCCTGAAACAAACAATTGCCATTAATTTGGTTAGAAAGAACTATTTTATAATGCATTATCATTAATACTGTTATAATTATGTAGAAATTTCAGATTTATGACTCTAATGATAATACTGTATAGTTACATAGAAATTTGCTAGATTCCCATAATAATACAACTTCATTGACATTCTGTATATTATCACTGACGATGAAGAATCCAAACAGGAGGATGGGCATTTAACTTAGTGTTTAGCACTTGCTTAGCATGCCTAAGGTCCTGAGTTCAACCCTCAGCACTGAGGAAATTACAGAGCTGAAACTGGGGACTGTTTTGTTTTGTTTTTAAGATTTATTTTAATTATATATACAGTGTTCTGCTGGATATTTGCCTGTAGGCCAGAAGAAGGCACCAGATCTCATTATAGATGCAGTTGCTGGGAATTGAACTCAGGACCTCTGAAAGAGCAGCCAGTGCTCTTAACCTCTGAGCCATCTGTCCAGCCCTTGGGGACTGTTATTGAACCTATTTTGTGACAGGCACTGGACTAGTTTCTGTACAAAAGGGATTTGTAGGCTGGGATTTGATTTATTCACATGCAGCAGTAAATTCCTGGAATACTGCTTTAAGTATGAGAAGGTTTCTTTTCTTGTAAGTAAGAAAGACAAGAAACAAGGCAGCACAGTAGCTTCAAAGTCACTGAAAGGTCCAGTTCTTTTCTTTACATCATGGATTCTATTTCCCAGGCTTACCTCACAGTCCAGAATAACTGCTGGAGCTCTGGCCCTGGAGGCTGCATTCTGCATATGAAGTAATGGACAAGAGGGAAGCAGACAAAGAAAGACCTCTAAATTCATACTTTTCAGAAATACTAGATCTATGCTTATGTCTCTTGGGAAATTTCCAGCATCTGACAGACCTTGGAAGATGTCAGTTTGGGGTGGGTACATTGTTGTCCCCACAAGTGTGGAGCCCACAGAGCTGAAGAGCTGGCTCCGTGGGTAAAGGAACCTAAATTCCACCCCTGGATCTCACATAGTCAAAGGAGAGAGCTGACTCCTGCAAGTCGTCTTCTGGCCTTTGTGAACACATCTACGTGCATACAAACCCCACAGCCCACAGCCCACAGCCCACAGCCCACAAATAAATAAATGTAAAGAAATTAGACTCTCAAAAGACAATATAAAAAATATATGCGGCACCTGTTAGGAAGGTCAGGGACAATGAGTCAGGTAACTCCTGCCTCGGGCACTCATATGTTATTTATAGTTTCACAGGCAGCTCCCTGGTATATTAAGCATTGTATGTATTTTTAGATGAGGAAAGCAAACCAAAGGCTTAATCATCTGCCCAAGATCACAAAGCCATTGAGGAACTGAAGCAGGTTTTATATCCAGATTAGTCCATGGAAAACCTACCTATTTTGTCATGGTTTGTTTACACCGAGTTTACATTTTATTCTGGGGACTATTTAGGTGTTGTGCAGACATTATTTTGTTTCATCATCATGAGAATTCTGCATAATGCAGCATTATTTTTCCTGTGTTACAGATGAAGGGCCAGATCTTTAAGCTGGCTGATTATTAGCACAATGTGGTTCCGTTGTGTAGTTTTTACCCTGCTGTAGAGCTTTCCTGGCTACCCTTGATGAGTCTGCTTATGAAGTTATAACATGTTTCAAAATAATAGTAGAGTTTTGTTAGGCTGTCAAATCAAATCAAGTCTCTGGCATTTCAACAGCCTAAGAAATTGCGAGGCGGGCGAGATGGCCCAGCAGGTAAGGGTACTTGGGACACGGGCTTGGCAACCGAGTCTGCGCCCCAGAGCCCGTGTAAAGGAGGAAGGGGAGAGTTAGTGCCTATCAGACCCTATCAATAAAGCTTAAAACAGAAACTGCAGAGAAGCCAAAATACATTACTAACCCCAAAAGAAACTTCAGTAAGCTTTTGTTAAATATACAATTTTACTTAAGGCTTTTTGTTTCTGTTTTTTGTTTGTTTGTTTGTTTGTTTGTTAATGGGGAGGTAGAGTCTGTTTTCCAGACAGGTCTCAAATCTTGGGTTCATGGAATTTTCCTGCTCGAACCTCCTAGTAGTTGAGAGTTACAGGTACACACACTGTTCCCAGGTTGGCACCATATTCCTTATGGCTGTGCTTCTGGTTAATTTTATTAGTACTTCCTGTATACTAATAAATCTGAGAAATTAACTTTCAACTTTTTAGATGAGAAAATGAATATGCATTATCACCTTATTCTGAAATATTAATTGCTTCTGGAGAAATAGCTTATTTTTTAGATATAGTTTCTGTCTTCAAAAGTGTTATATTTTTATGTGTTTCTTAATGCCATGTTTACACTTTATGATTGATTATCTCTTTTACACTTATCCTAACAACATATTTGGAAGTGAGTTTATAGCTACTTGTAAACGTTTCTGATAATAATTGTGAGTAGGTGAAAAACAGATCTTTAACATTCATGCTTTTCATTGCTTTTCCCATCTCTGCAAGTATCAATTTTGGATCTCTGTTACCCCAGCAACAAGCTGTGACATCACAAATGATAGCTTTTTGGGTGGAGAGCCAGTGTTGCTCCTGACTCTTTGTTAAGAAACAAAGATCTTATTTTCACATAAATGACTTTAATTACACAGCTTGCTGCTGCAGCCTGTAGTTAGGGTTACATATAGAATCCTGCTCGATTTTTTTTTTTCTTCAGTTTCTTTCTTAGGCAGCTGTGAATGTAGAGAATTAGGCACTTGGCTAAATGGACAAAGACTGCAGTTGCTGGGCTAGGTGAGAGAGAACCAAATAGACTGAGGTTGTAGAATAATTTTCAAATGGATAATTGAAGAAGATGATCATCCGATCTAGGCTGAGGACTGCCACAAAGAGTTCCCCTGCCAGGAACTGAGGGACAGGTGGAGACTAAGATCGTAAGTGATGTTAGTGTCTCTCTCACCTGTAGTGAGAGCCCATCTCTGTGCATGTGTGGAGGGAGGTCAGGTGGCAATGAGTCATTCAGGACACCTGCATATGTCACTCTCTTGCCTTGTGCCACAGCTGATTTTTGTTTGTTTGTTTTTTAATCTCATGCAAAAAAAAAAAATCCTGGGCAGAAGGTGTCAGACTAAATGTATAATCATACTGTTCCAATATCTAAGAGCTCAGGATTAACAAACCAACAAACAAAATCCGAGCAAGAAGGTTCTCATTAGATCTGTGCCTCTCCTCTCTCTGTGCCAGTGTTTTATTGTCTGCCGTGCCTGACCACCTCCTTTTGCTCCTGTCTTTGTTAATTTCAGGACGCCTTACAGATCCCAGGCTGACTCGGCAGCAGAGAAAACAACAGACGATGTCTCTTCGAGTACTCCTCTGTGTGTGATCACCAATCGCCCTGCACCCAGCACTGCCAATGGGGTTCCGCCTGCCACACTGTTCCCCTCCACTGCAACAGACTCCTCTCTGGAAGCCCGGGAGAAGAGGAGGTATGAGGTTCCTGATGCATGTGCAGGGCTCTGCTTTGACAGAAGAGACAGAGAAGTGGCTATGAAGTCCTTGACCCAAGCTCAAATAGATCTGAATTTTCCTGTTTGGGGTATGTCTTACCTTGGAAGGTTTTTTTTGTGGTGGAGGTCTTATTTCTGACTATTTAGCATTATGTTTTGTATATAGTCAGACCTTTTTTCTATTTGTCTTGTGATAATCGACAGGCATATTTTTTTTTTGCCTTTTGTGATATGGAGTTTGAAGCACAGAGAAAGATCCTTCATTTTGGTCTGAGTTTTCGTGATCACTCTGTGCAGCTAAGTAATACCATGAAGAAAAAAAAACACCTCAAAGGAGCAGAGCTAGGTGTTTAGTTTTATGCATGTGAGGATAATACCCCGGAAGGAAATGAACGTTTATGGTGATGCGGGATTGAGCCCGCTTGTCTGCAGCTGTTGAGACTTGCTGTGCCCCTCAGGCTGGCTTCGATCTTTTGATCCGCTTGCCTTAGCCTGCCTGAGACGAGGAGTTCAGGTGTTCCTCCCTTGCTCCGCTCCACTGCAGTGTTTTTAGAGGGGGATTCAGAGAGAGCAGATGTGGCTCAGCAGGAGACGGAGCTGAGGAAGAGGAGCACTCTGTGGTTGTTAGGATCAAGAGAGTGTGGCCAGTGTGACAAAAGGAAGAACCGCGGAGTATTACCTCCCGCTTGAGGTCTCTAAGATCCAGTGTACGTGCAAGACTGAGGCTATGGCACCGCTTTCTGAGACTAGAGACAGAGACAAACCTTCATCAAGGTTTGGAGTTTTAGTTTGATTTATTTTCAGTATCCAAAAAGATACGTTTCTCTTTCTCAGTGTGTATGTGAGAAGGCAGGAAATGCTATCTAAAAGACACAGTACCAAACTTTTTAGTTATTTCTTTATTGTGACGACAACCTAAAGCACACATTGTGAGAAAGGAGGGAGAAGTCAAGTGTATTGAAAAATATTATTTTCCTGGGTTTTTCTCTCCATAAAATTGTAAGAAAATCAATTTTCTAGACTAACAGGTTTCTGAGCCAATAGTTGTCCTCTTTTGTTTTTAAAAGAGACATTTTTATTTGTGTATATGTGGTGCATTTTGTGTGTCTGTGTGTGTGTATGCGTGTGTGCTTGCAAGTGTGTATGCGCATGGATGCCATGTGTGTTGCTGGTGCTTTTGGAGGCCAGAAGAAGGTGTCAGGTATCCTGGAGCTGGAGTTACAAGAGGTTGTGAGCCTCCTGATGTGGGTGCTAGGACCCAAATTTAGGTCCTCTGGAGGAGCAGCAACTGTTCTTAAGAGCTGAGTCATTTCCCTGGCCCCCCAGTTGTCCTCTTCTAATCGACTTCCAGCCAGGTAAACATTATAAGTCAGTCTTGAATGTGTCACGCTTGTGTATTTACTGGTGCACAGAGAAGTACCATTAGTTTCATCTGAGAAACTACATTTAAGAGCAATCTTTTCATTAGCCAAAAAAAAAAAATCTTTAAAAATGTTTCTTAGTGCAGGAGAGATGACTTAGTGGATGAAGTCTTTTGTGCAAGTGTGAGGATGTAAGCAGCAGACATGGCGTCTCACATCTGTGACCTCCACTTGGAGGAGACAGACAGAGGCAGTTTTGGAGCTTCCCTGGCAGGCAACATAGCCAATCCATGACCTCCTGGATCAGAGTGGAGAAGCAGTTAAGGAAGACACCGCCCTCCCCCCCCCCCAGATATGTGTAAACATGCTCATACTCACACAAATACATACACCCACATCTCCCACCCAAAGTGTTCTTAGCTCAGAGAAGTAAAACAAGTTCAATTTATTAAGATTACGATCCTTGGGAAGATGGAGAAATCCTGTTTGTCTTCAGTCTGGATTGAATTTCTGCGTCAGTTTGAGAATCAGAGAGAGCCACTGCCTCTGGCTGTCGTAACCTGCAGTGCAAAGAGAGCATTGCTGCAGGGTTTGACTGTGCTTCAGCTGTTTGTCCGTCCACAGGTAGCCACTGAACACCGCTACGGAATAAACAGGGTGACCAGGGCACATTTCCTCGAGAAGCAGCAACTGTAAAAGCAAAGGACTAGCTGGGCATGAGTGGTGCACGCCTTTCATCCCAGCACTCAGGAGGCAAAGGCAGGCAGAGCTCTGTGAGTTCGAGGCCAGCCAGGGATACACAACGAGGCCCTGTCTACCTAAAACAAACAGACAGCGAACCAAACGAAAGAATTAAAAGGACTAAGCTGTGATGTTAGTGAACTGTTGTATGCTGTATCAAGATGCACGAAGAGTGCATTTTAGTGCCTTTAAGAATGGCATGCAGTGGCGCTGCAGAGGTGGCTCAGCACTTGTTCCTGTCGTAGAGGATGCAGGTTCTATTGTCAACATGCACATGGTGATTTACAACATCCCAACTCCAGGTGCAGGGGATTGATGGCCATCTTCTGACTTCCACAGGCACCACACATACATGTTGTACACATGCATACATTCAGGCAAAGCATTCATACACATAAAGATTGACTAGACAAAGAGCTGTTAGTCACGTGTTTGGTTCTAACTATCACTGTTTTCAAAATCTTCATTGCTGCGGTTACCAGGAATCACATTAAGCCCAAGTAGTACATAGGTGACCTAGACAAATATGATATGAACCTACAGGAAACGTATGCACTGGTAAAAATTATCACATCTGTGATATATACAGTGGAGCATCGTTCATCTGAAAATAGAAAGTGTTTCAAATTTGACACGTATTCCAGATTGGTTTTGTTTTGTTTCTTGGAGACCAAGTCCTCCTGGCAGGTCTTGTACTTAGTATATAGCCCAGGCTTGTCTTGAACTTATGGCAGTCCTCCTGCTTCAGCCTCCTTCATTCTAGGATTACATATGCCACCATATCTGACTTCACATACAAAATTACTTAAAAAAAATGTATCAGATAATCTTCATGTTATGTGTGTTGGGTGGATATGTCAGGTTTTGGACACTGTGACAAACTGAGAGAAATTATTTAATAGGAAGAAGATTTATCTTCCTCGTGGCTTTAGAGATTACACTTCATGGGTGGCTGGTTTATTGTTTCTGGGCCTGTGGTGAGGCAGAACATCACTGTGGACGTGTGTATGAGCAAAGCTGCTCATGTCTGGCAACCAAGAAGGCAGAGAACAACAGAGGAAGTGGACTGCTACCAGACAGCTCCTGGGAGCAGCCCTCCAGTGACCAACCCGCCAATAAAGCTGTACCTCTGAATGTTGTAGCTCGGCCGATCCGTGAGCTGTCGTGATCTGGTCACTGCTTAGTTGTTGGGCCTGCCAGCTGGAGACCAAGTCTTCACAACATGAACAGGTTGTGAGAGACACATCACAAGAAGCACAAATGAATCTTATGTGTAGATATGCATTTCTTATCCCAAATAGCTCATTACATTTATGAAAATATCTCAAAATCTGGTGTGCTTCTGGTCCCCAGAAGTTTAGTTAAGAGATGCTTAACCTGTACCATAAAGAAGTAGTGTGAGTTATGAACAGTGTGTTACGGAAACACTTCTCCTGGGGGACCCAGATGGCTTTCATGAGGGTGTGATGCTTAGACAGAGGTCTGTAGGATGAGTAACAGCTAGGGGAAGAACTTTTTAAAAAAAGATTTATTTTATATGTATGAGTGTTTTGCCTGCACATGCGCACCACATGTGTGCCTGGTGCCCAGGGAAGTCAGAAGAGGGCATTGGATACCCTAGGACTGGAGGTATGGAATGTTGTGAACCACCATGGGGGTACTGGGAATTGAACCTGGATCCTCCACAAGAGCAACGCATACTCTTAATCCCTTATCTCCAGTCCCTAGGGACAAACTTTCTAAGCAAGTTATGGCAGTTGAAAGGACAGTGTTAAGTGGAGTCAGATTCTTTGGAGAAACTGCAAGAAGGTTTTATATCTAAGTGAAACATTGGGGGAAGAGTGGTTTAAGATGAGGCTTGCGGAGAGGATGGGAAGTAGCTACATCATGTTAGTGTCTTCCAGCCAGTGATGAGGATTTGGGATTTCTAGGCTATGAATTATGATGAACCAGTAGAAGAATATTCCCAACAGCTCTATAGAGACATAATTCATATACCATATAACCCACACGTTTAAAGCGGCAAGACATTGGTTGTTTATTTTATTTTTAGGCTTATTTATTTTATTTATGTGTGTGTGTTGCCTGCATGTTTGCATATATGTACACCACGTGCATGCCTGGTGCCTGTGGAGACCACACGAAGGCATTAGATCCTTGGAACTGGGTTACAGATGGTTGTGAGCCACCAGTGGGTACTGAGAACTGGACCTGGGCACTCTGTAAGAACAGCAAATGCTCTTACCACCAAGCTATGTCTCCATCCAAAGATAGTGGTTGTAGAATGTGGAACAGTAGGTGTGGCTGTTGGCACAATGCATTTTGAACATTCTTGTTACCTGTAGGAGAAATCTTATACCTATTTCCCTCATCTCTCTCTATCTCCCCCTCTCTGCAACCTAAGCAACCACTGATATATTTCCTATTTTTCTTATTTTCCACCTTTCGTATAAATGGAAACAAGATGAGGGCTTTATGACTGGCCTCTTTCTCGTGTACTTTCAACATGAATTTACATTGAGGAAGGTATGAGGCCTTTATTCCTTTTTATAGTCCACCATTGGATATTGTTTGTCTATTCATAAGTTGATGATTGTTTCTATTTGTTGGCTATTATGAATAATGTGACTATAAGCATTTGTGTGTACATTTTTATGTGGGCATATTTCTCAGTTATATACCTAGTAGTGGATTTTGTAGGCAATATGCCACTAGACGATTTTAAACTTAAAGTATGATGTATCATTTTTTAAAAAGTTCTGGCTTTTAAACCCTGCCTGAAGTTATTAGATAGGGAAAGAATGGGTAATAATGAGTGTGAAGTGACTAGTAAGGAGACCGTTGCAGAAGAAAAGCACCTATGACAGAGCAGGCTTG